AGGCTCGACCATGCAAGTATCGGAGAGTAGATCCAGAGGAGATCCCAAAACCGGCAGAAGCAGAGACCATGGAGATCGACACGGATTCCGACGTCATTGTCCAATACGATTCGCAGCCAAGCCAACCTCTTCCTGTTTCGTCGGAGACTGCAACTGCGGCAAAGCAAATCATTGACCCCGGCTTCCACAGCCATGTCGTCACGGAGCAAGATGTGCTTGGACAGCCTTCAGCCGAAGCCGCCCGCGACGACCGCCAAATTCCTCTTCTAGCACCCGCGCCCACGTCCAAGGAGCAAGGGCGCGGCGCTGGAATATTGCGATTCAGTCACGATGAACGGCTTCGGATACAAGAAGTCTTGCAAGATTGCTCCACGGTGAAGGAAGCCACAGCAGCGCTGGCTGTCACTTTGCCAAGGCTCACCGTCAAGGACAAGCAAGCGGCAGGATACCTTCCCCGGACTACACTTCGTAATTGGGTACAAAATCCTGCCAGCTTCCAAAAAGCTCTGTCTAAAGCAGGACGCCAAGTACCGGAAACTGGGCGCTGTGCTCGATCAGGCAGCACACGGGCAGCTCTCTCGGATGCAGACAAGATCATTGTTCGCGAGGCCTTGGCCGCCGCAGACTCGCTCAACCACCTCGTCCACATCTTGACCGAACGCCTGGACGAGTTCAGTGCCGCCGACACCGCGGCACCCAAGTACATTCCGCCCAGCACTCTTCGTTACTGGATGAGCCGACCAGCCGTCGGCCGCTGGTTCGAGGCAGCCGAGTCGGAGACATGGGACGCCGAGTTTGATCGCACATTCACGGTGGCGATGACCAAACCAGCCAAACGAGAGCCAAGCTCCCTGGGAACGGAGTCTCCGGACGACCAGTGGCTAGTCTACAACTCTTGGAGCTTTTGTCCAGATTGTGGCCGTCGGCGTCCTCGCAGCCATATCACATCCAGAGAAGCGGTCAACTCTGCGGTCAAATGCAAGCCTCAGTGCGATCCTGAAGCCGAAGACCTGCTTCTGCCACCTTCTGCGACTCTGGATGCAAAGAAACTTCAAGGTTACGTCACGCCAATGTCGCATAATTGGGACGCTCTGCTGGCCAGCATGGAAGCCACCGGCTTGCCTCTTCTCACGGCCTTGACCAAGGAAGAGCTGGACAGTCTAGCCATTGTCGACTTGAAGCTAACCTACCGCAGTCGTCGAGGAGGCCATGCCGAGATCACNNAAGCCCATGCTCTTGACCGAAGTGAGACGTTCTCAGCAAGCTGCTCTCGCCTTTGACTGGCTGCGAAGCAATAACAGCACCTATGCTGCCTGGCTCGAGAAGCACATGCAAAGGCACCAACAAAGCGCAGCGGGACAGGATGACTGGCGTGAAATTCCCACGGCCGAGCTGCTACTGAACTCGGCGGGCGTCGAAGTCGCCGCACGCCCTTGGCTGTATCCCTTGGCAAGCTTTGCCGAAACGGACCTCGCCAGTCGTCTCAAGGAGCTCGGGTGGATTGCCAAGAACAGCACCATCTCCATCAGACAAAGTTTCATGCGAAAGATTACTAGTCGATGCTTGGACTATTGTCGTGACTTCCGGCTACACTGTCTGCTGTACGATGTTTGCATGGCCAAGTCCATCACCTCCATCATCCACGTCGCCAACAAGATGCAGATCGCTCCGGAGCAAGCCGCTTCGCAACAGGACTCCTTCGAAGGATACTGGTGGCTTCAGGTACGCAAAATGGAGGACGTCTGCAGACGTGAGTTTGAGCTCACCGAGGACATGAGCCAATCGCTGCCAAACGTCTTTTTCACGGTGGCGCCTGCCGAGTGGCGCTATCTGGTGCCCAACGGTCTCATGTTCGCCGACAGTCTTACAGACCAGCAGGCCATCCTCACACTCCACTTGTACCACAGTTTGGAAGCAATGCTGGAGAAGCACCTTCTGAAAGAGGGCTGCAGTCTGCGACAGGTCGGCTTGGCCGAGATAAAGCACTGGAGCTTCCGCTTTGAGTTTCAGTCTCGTGGCACCTTGCACATCCATGCGTTGCTGTGGACGCAGCTGCTGCCCAACTGGTC